GCATAACATTTCTACTGGGTGGTAATGCAAGCGAAGATTTCAAATTAAAGCCACTACTAGTTTACCACTCCAAAAACCCAAAAGTGATGAAAGGCATATCTAAATCAACTTTACCTGTAATTTTGGAGTCTAATAAAAAATCATGGATAACTGAAAATTTTACAGGATTGGTTCACTGAACATTTCTGCCCGTCTGTTAAACTGTTATTATTGGGAAATTAAAAAACTTGAACAAAGAGCACTACTATTAATTGATAATGCACCAAGCCACCCAACAAATTTATCAGACTTAACAACATGCATTCCAGTCGAAGTGGTTTTCTTGCTGCCTAACACAACTGCCTTAATCTAACCAATGGACCAAGGCGTTATATCCAATTTTAAGGCTTATTACTTGCGGCGAATATTTAAGCAGATGTTTGAAAAAGCAGACAGAGAACAAAAGCAATAAATAAGAGAATTTTAGAAAAACTACAATATCATGAAAGCTGTAGAAAACATAAATCTTTCTAGGAATGAGATAACAGAAAGATCTTTGAAAGAGTATGGAAGAACATTTGGCGAGATTTAAGTACGAGCAAAGACATTGGACACTCTGTTGATATGGATGAAATACAGTCAAAAGTCGTTAATCCGGACTCGTAGGGACTTCGGCGATTCCGGATTATAGATCATCAGTTTAAATCTCGTAAGATGGCATGCACAAATTCTAAAATTAAAAATATGAAACCGTATTTTAGGAAATAAAGAACAATTATGGGTATCAAAATTTACAAAAAAGAACCTTAATATTTATTTGTTTACTTTATTAAACATTTCTTTCAATGTAAGTTGTTTCGTTTTATGTGATAATACTTTCTCTTTAATTCTATAAAGACATAACTTCTTGTTCAGTTAAAAAAGCTCCGCGTTCAAAGTCCCGTAATTGCTGTCCGAGAATACTGACTAACTTGTCATCGAAATTTTTTCGTTTCAATAACCTCTCTGTCACCTTCTTCATGTCTTTATCCATTTTTTGCAGCAATTCCACTTTTTGTTTGACGGACATCGAGACATACTTTCGTTTTGTAGATCCTTTGGGAGCTCCAGAATTGGAAATTTACATAATCGAAGACTTTTATAAAATTGCTCTTACAGTCTGCAAAAAATAATAAGCTGCATCCAATTCGAAGATTAAGGAATAACGCAAGCATCAACATTAACTGAAATAGATAATTGTATAATTTTAGCTTATACCGTCCGTTATACGTTATACGTCTGTTAAACGCACACGTGAAAACATATTCTGCACTTGTGCACACGCATATGCGCGTGCGCATAAAGGTCTTACGTGCACGCGTAAATGCCTATGCGCATGAGTCAACGCGGCGCATGCTCAGAAAGGTTTTAGCTTTGAGGTCTGGATTATGGGTGTCAGAATTAACGACTTTTGAGTGGAATTAGCGAAACAAACCGGTTTAGATGAGGTAAATGTGGAAGACGTCGAAGAAATAGTTCAAGAAACAGCAGCTAGTCTTTCTAATGATGAGCTCAAGGAATAAATGAGCAAGAAAACAAAAATATTGATAGTAGTGATTTTGAAGAAGAGCAAAAAGAACTTTCGATGGGGTTTGTAAAAAGGAGTTTGACCACTATAACTGAAATTATGGACCAATTTTTGACAGGAGTTCAAAAGCAAGATGGGGGGTTGATCTTTACATTATGGTAACTTGGCGTTTTTTTGGCGACCAACTCTCCTACAGCAACCCTCTATTTTTTTTTCCCGCCGCCATTTTGTCTTCACGAAGTAAAAGACATGTTTCTTTTCTTTTTTTTATCTACTGAACACTTCTTCCAACAATCTACTAGCCGAATTACACTTATGCTAGAAATTTTATCTAACAAAACTGCTTTAATCATGACAAAATTCACTGCAAAATTGGGAAAAAGTGCACAATACCATACTCCTTACGCGTTTTTCAAAATAACACATACACATAAACCATGTACACGCCGACTTATTTTTACTTAAAAAAAATCCCAGAATTGCACAAAAATGGCATTGCGCACACTCTTCACTATATCCATGTACACTGCTTTTTTCTCATAAATTAGAAAATTTTCACGAAAATACACGACAATTTTCTCAATCTTTTAAACCCGGTAAAAAGAACATATATGAAATTACCTGATCGCGAAAAAGTATTTACCCTTTCCAAATATGAACATTTCCACATATAAAATAAATAAAATATCCAAAAACTTTTACCTCTAATCATCTATTACATTATACACGTCACCAACGAATTCATACCGCAAGCATTACAAATACTTAGTATCAATATTTAAATTATTTCCATGCACGTTTACTTCAACTTAAACGTATATATACCAAACAATTCCTACAAACATAAAATTCACAAAATAACTATCATTTATTAAAATATAATTAAATTCAAAAACACTACTTAAAATATAATGAGCACATACATTAAATTAATACATACTAAATAATACCCATTTCGAATTCACTTTAGTTAGTTACGGGCCATGGGATCCAAAAATTCACGAACACTGTTTCACACAACACAGAATAAAGCCAAATACAAATTTCCAGATTTCCCCCCTTTTCCGATTAAAGAACCGTAATTCGTCCATTAATATCACATGACATATCCCATGATCTCTCATTTCCCTCACACAAAATAATGCGTAATCGGAACTGAGTACTGCTCACATTATTACCAAAGTCCCAGGTAGTAACCTTTATCGCCTCCAAAATGTCGCCAAACTACCAGTTACCATATTGTAAAGATCAACCAGATGGGGTGTTATAGATGCTTTATCCACTTAATCAACAACTTCTAACAGAATGCAAAAGGAAAATGCAAACTACATTAGATGCCTTCTTGAAAAAAAGGCAGAAAATTGGAAACACAGAATAGACTGAATGATCTGACTGAGAATTTTATTTGTTTTTATAAGTATATTCGTTTTTATTTTCGTAAGAAAGTAATGTTTAATTTTATTTTTATTAAAAAAGCATTATCAAATTTAATACCTAACCAATTTTCTATCCATCTTCCCCTAACCCCATTATTTACATGTTAAGATAGCTTTGTTTAGCGCTGTTTCACATTACGCTCTACTTTCATGGAACGTATCCCCCATGTTAAAAACGGGGTCTTACTGTATATATTTAACTATTCAAAATAATTGCTTCTACTTGCATATTTTAAAAGCTGTTAATATATATGTATTTATGTTTATTAGTTGAACTGCTTCTGAAGTGAATCAGAAAATGAAAATTAATTGCTGTTCATTGATCTTTAAAATGTCTTTTAGTAAGACTTTCCCAAGATGATGCTATTAATAAGAAAGTATCTTCCCCCTCAACCCCCCCAAAAATTTCTGAGCTGCTTAACATATTAATTAAAAATTTGCAATATACTAGTTAAAAAATACATGCTTTATGCTTAGTATTCAATCCAAAACCTGAGATACCATTAACATTTAATTTTAATGGAAAACTTAAAACCATTCAATTTTCCAGTTAAATATAATTTTGACTTAATTTATTATCCACTAAGAATTACTTCAATATATATATATATACAAATATTAGCATCATTTTTGTGCTAATTCTCAAATGGATATAATAAAAATCTCAAATTTAAAGTAAATTTATAACTTACAAAAAGTTTCAATATATAAAATATATACTACATACATATTTTACAGACATATATAACTTAAAAATATACAAATTTACAACAATAAATGTGCCATAAAAATTTGATGTTCATTACTTATTAAATTTATATCTGTACAGGACACTGTATTAATGCTTTATTCTCAAATAAAAGAGTTAATAATTCACTGCTGCTGGTGTAAAACAGCCAGGTGACAGAATTTAGGAGCAGCAAAAATTTAGGTAAGGCAAAATTTTTAATATAAATATTAAGAGAAAGAAATATTCGGTACTTTTCCGTTTTGCCGGCGCAAGCGATAAAGTCGCCAATAATGGTACAAACCGATGCCCAAACGGAATATTCTCGCTGGTAACCTTTTATTTTACGCCTCATTTTCGAAACAAGTCGCAGCTTTTTCTTATCAGATTGATTGTTTCTTTCAATACTGGCATATAATTACATAGAATTTTTATTAGATAGTTCAGTTTTATGTCTAAGGCCATTTTCGGTAATTAAGTCAATTAGGATGCAATCACAGCGCTTACCCGAAGCCGAAAGTATAGAAAAGGAAAGTCAAGGGTTAAATTCATCAATTCTAATAAGAATGCATTAGCGAAGTAAAGCACTGCAGTTTTACATGATTTCTGAGTAAGCTATTCGTACGCATTGAAATGTTTCTTGCATTTAAACTTGTGTTCCAAATTAAAATTTAACTTGAAATTAAGATTTAACTTAATTACTGAGAGCATTAGATTTTTCTAGAGTAGTTTACGTGAGATGAGATCGCTTGGGGTCATGTGATATGAACGGGGGAATTAGGATGTTGAACCATGAAAGCATAGTAAATTCTTAAATATTAATGTCTTTTTTACAATTTATTGTCTTTTTATTTAAATTTTTTAAAGTTAAGTTTTAATTACGATATTAAAATGTTTATGCCTTCAATTCTAAAAATGCCTTAAAAAGATTTCTTAGAACTAAAAATTTTTAAATATTTTTTATGTGTATACTGTATGTTGTCGCCAATAAAGTCTGCTTGGCGAGATTTGCGCCGGCGAAACGGAAAAGTACCAAATATTCTTTTAGGTTCAGGGAAATATGCTCAATCAATATGCAAAATATTCAGTTATAGATCTTATAGAAATCTCAGCTTATGTTTATGATACATACCAATACAAATATATGAAAAATTTAACTCTTTCAGTTAGTATGATTATTGCATGGCCTGTTTATATCAAGCTTAAAGGTGCTTATAAAAGATTATCTTTTGGAAAGAACACAATATTACTTAATTTAAGCATATATTAAAACAATGCATGCTTTACTCACCTAAAATAACCTGAAATTTATGTATAATGATACATCATTGAACTTTTTTTTTCTTGTTTGAGCCATGCATATCAGTAAAACTTGCTAAACTTACAGGAACAATTCCTTCATAAGGAACATTATATTTTTTAACTGCTTTGGCAGCAATGCATTTTAAACTTAGTTGATACTGAGATTTCAAAATAATTTCTGCAACACCAGTAAGAACTGCATCAAATGGAGATTGTCCCTCGTTATTTACACGATCTATATGTGCTCCAGCATCCAATAATTTTGTAATTATCGAATGCAAAGTCATGAAATCAGTTATTGGCTTTTGGTAAGCTACTATGATGTGTAAAGGAGTATTTCCAGACTTATCAACAGCATTTACATCAGCTCCACACTGTATCAGCATTCGAGCAGTAGCAGAACAAGGAAATTTACAAACGTACTTTGTGTGAAATTCATCAACAGGAGTTTCTGCATTAACTGCTAAATGTAGGAGAGTTGAACCATCAGAAGTAGTCAGCAATAATTTGTTTATTTGATAAACTAGTTTATATACATAGTCTTCATCTTCAATTGATAATTTTTTAACTAACTTTGTTATTATCACTAATAAGTATAAAGTTGTATATATGTTGTCTTCTAATTCTTCTACTAAACAGTCATAAGTATCTTGAGTAGCTTTCTTTATGGCTGTTTTATTCTTACCCAATTCTTGTAATGTTACTTCAAGAACTTGCTTAACTTTGTCAAATACAACTTCTTCGCCAATATGTATCATTTGTGCAAAAACCTGAGCAAATCTTAAGAGATCTTTGCGGACAGTCACATTATGTGTGTGTCTGAGCTTTAAGGCATGTAGCCACAAATCTACACACCTGTCAAAACGACCAACATCAGCAAACAATGCTCCACGAAATATCACCGGGTGAGGAACTTCAGGATTGGCAGAACCAAGAATTCTCTCTCGAATTACTAAAGATTCCATATGAAGAGCATTGCTGTTATTCTTAATAGCTTCTAATTCACTTAAAGTCTGACATTCCAAATAGCTGTCATAAGCTGGAATTGGTGGAAGTAACACTTTTGGTAGGTAGTATTCAGGATGGTTACAACGCTCAGTCATTGCCCATCTTAAATAATAATATGCCTTGTCCAAATTATAAGAATCTTTGTCATTTGCGTATGAAGCACCCAACAATTCAAGAGCTTCAACAGATTCTTGTTTTGAACACCAAGATGTTTTAATAAAGTATTCCACAACTTCAGCTTTAGTCCTTTCTGCTGCAGACAGCAAAGGTGTCATTCCGATGTTATTTTTGGTTATCTTTGCTCCACTTTCAAGCAATTTTTTGACTATCTCTAAATGTCCATGCTCAGCAGCAAAGTGGAGGGCAGTGGCACCACAATGAGCTTTAGCATCTGGATCAACGCTTTTGCTTAGTAAATAGGAAACAACATTCAAATGTCCTCTGTATGAACCAATCATTAAACAAGTATTGTTGTATTTATTGGCTGTGTGTATATTGGCACCGTTTTCCACCAGATATTGGATGATATCTAGTCGGCCGTCGAAACACGCCGCTCGTAAAGGGGTAGAATTGGTTTTCGTAGAATGATTCACATCAGCACCGTGAGAAACCAAGTATTTAACGACGTTAAAATGGCCAGCTCCAGCGGCACACCAAAGTGCTGTAGCTCCATCAATTACGTACCCATCGATTTGTACTGTGCCGTCTTGTTCTATATTCGGTCCAAATCTGTTTAACAACATTTTGACTACATTATCATGTCCATTAAGGGCGGCAATAAGAAGAGGTGTACATTTTTGTCCATCATCTTCAACAGGATTCTCTAAATAATAACACAGGTCATTTTCAGAAGTATTGGCAAGTAATGCATACAGAGTAATAGCCATACCATCTCTAGCAGCATAATAAACACGGCGGCGTAAAGAGTCTTTATCTTCTGCCATAGCCATCATCCATAGCCATGAGGTCACCTCACAGTCCATACAACTGTCGTTCACGTAACATCCAATAAATGTGATAAAATATATACTACTGTCACAACTTAATTCCGAAGAGAAAGTTAGATGAAACTTCCTCGGAGCACATACGCCGTTACAGCATTGTTTGCAATCCTCTTTAAAGTCAGTCACGGGTATAAGCAATTTCACAAAAACAGCTGACGTTAGTTTCCAGAACTTGATGCCATATTTCACTTCTTAAAACTTGATGTCATCTCCTATTCCCTTGACTTCTTAACAATTTTAACTTTGGTTTCAAAAATGTTAAAATTTAATTTTTCTTAATTAATACGTTATTTTTTATTTTTAAAATAGAAAATCAAAATTAAGTACTCGAAAAATATGAATCAAACATGATTTCTGGGCCAAAAACTTTATCCTGAAACTCAGCTGTTATTTACTGAGTAATCCCGTAATTATATCTCAAACTTCTTTTTTAAAAAATAATAGTGTTAGTTTTTCTTTTGTTTAACATTTAGCTAATTATTATGCGGAATTTTAAGATTTAAGTTAGCTGATTATTATGCTTGCTAATTTATTCATTAAATGATCCAAAAATGAAATAGAACTATCTAATTGTTTATTTAAACAAAAGTCATCGTATAAGATATCCTCAATTTTGTAATTATTTACCGTTAATATATTCTTCCGCCTAGCGTTATCAAATATAGATTTTGCCGTTTGGCAGTAGCTGTGAGTGCTCGCTATGATCCCCGGATGTGTGATGGTCGTCAATTTTGACTTTTCAAGGGGATTGAATGTTTTAATTAGTAGACATCTCACCTAATTTAATTATTAGTTTTCTTATTAATTTTCTGTAATTTAGATTAGGTTGATACAAATTATCTTAGCATTAATGGTAATGCAGGCAAGGAAACTTCCAAGACTCAGCGATGGGTATTAGCATTCTAATTATCTCATAAATTTGTATTTCTGTTATATTTTAAAGGAATTTTCCGGTGTATGGAACCATATAAATATAGCTGTTTTCCGAGATTTTGTTTTGAGGTCGTATTTTTGGGTAAAATAATATTTTTAACTCAAGGTGCCGCAATTTTTTTTTTATTGACGCTGTCGCGTATGGTAAGTTCGTTATTGACAGGTATTGTTAGCAGTGAAAACATTGGAAATAACACGGCTTATAGATAGTTTCAGTTAAGGTATGTTTAACATAAAATAATAGATTTACAAAAATTTAGCATCATGTTTTCGATTAAGCGATGGAAACGAAAGGCATAGTTAAATAACCTGATATGTTGATAACAAAGACTCGTTCATGTCAGTCAAGTCAAACTAATATGGAGTATCGAAATCTTTATTGTAGATTAGTTATTTGTGTGTAAAAACTGTAATACAATGTCATTTTATTACAGTTACGGTGGAAATAAATTTGAATCCAATATAGGCTTAGCTTTATAATACTGAAATCGTAAACATTTTTCTTAAATGCCTAATCAACGGAGTTTAAAAGTCTGAAATCAAAATCGTTCTCATTTCATTTTCAGCTCCTAATTTTTATGCCTATTAATTTCCTTACTTTTGCATCTAACTCAAGGTACTGACATGTTTGTCATTGTTTGGATATGCAACAGCGCCAGCTGAAAAATAACATTAATCGGCATATTTGATTATACTGTCAACTGTAAATTGGCAGTGATTTTTTATTAATAAAACTACTTAGTGAAGCAAATGAAAGAGAGTACTGAGATTACGCATATATATTAACATAATATATTGTAACTGTTAAAGGCTTTTTTTAAAAATTATTTTATTTTCATCTCTGAACACATATTTCTTACAAGGTGATGACATACTTTCTCTGAATTCTTTTCATAAAAATAAAGCGTATTTAAAATATTGGCAGTAGTATTTGCATTTATAAGGATTTTTACTGGTACTTTTGTGTTATAGGGGCTGGATTCAGAAATGTGTGTATGTACATACATGCACACACACACACATGTATAATATATATACAAGCATACACATTTTTGAATCTGATCCTGATAACAAAAAAGTATCTTTTAATTTTATAAATCCACCCAAAATAAGTTTTGTATAAAATCCCTGTCTGAGTATGTGTACGAGGGTTTAAATTTTTGAAATTGTTGCACTTTCCAAATGATCCTCAAAAAGAAATCACAAAACAGAGTAGTCTGTGAGGTTTCTGTGAACTGACTTTGCCTTCTATCAATATTTAAAGACAGGGATACTAGTATTTTACCTTGAAATTGACTGTAAGAAGTACATGGATAAATGCCTTCAATGTTAAGGATGGTTTTTTTTCTCTGTTTAAGAATCTTTCTTTTGTTAATTTTTAATGCAGTTATTTCCAAATTCTAGTCTATAACTTGGAGTATAAATTTTAGATTGGAAGAATTATTTTTTCTGAAGTGATTTTATGTGTCAGTTAAGAGTTTAAAAGATCATATAGCTTAGGACAGTTCCCATGCAATGCCTTTAGTGCAAAATAGTTGAGTTAACTGGATTTATATATTTAATTATTTTGAGGAAATTAATGTTTAATTCATTTTGTTAGTGAGTGGTTACTAAACTGTAGTCATGGTGTTAGGGCATTTTAATCAGTATATAGCCTTGACATGAAATACACTCACTTCCAAAAGTTAAGCACAGAGAGGAAAATGCTAATTTCCGGAAGCCAATCAGAATTGAAGAGGATGCAAGTTGCTGCAGAGGAAGATGGAAGTATGCAAATATGTTAGGTAACAGCCAATCGCATTTTCATATCAAGAAATATGCAAAAAAGGTAGTCTTGTAAGAAGCCAGCTTTATGAAGGGTTATAGAAGTTGTTTGTAAGTGCTGATAGAAGGTGTTTAAGCTTTCGTTTCTTTTTTTTCAAGACAGACGTGTTTCTATGACTTCCAGAAGACGAATGGAAGACTCCGAGTGCTGGCGTGCTGTGGAACGCATTGAAGTAGGACAGTCGATCACAGATGTTGCTCTTTTCTTTGGCATTCATCATTCTGTAATTTCACATTTATGGGAACAATTCCAAACCACATAGACAGTTGTCCGAAGGACCCGTAGCCGCTCGCCCAAGGGTTACAACCCCGGCGGAAGATAGCCAAGCGGAATCGCAGAGCAACTTCCACACATGTGACATCTATGGTTACAGGGTCCATTGGTAAGGCGATATCTGCAGCTACTGTACTCCGAAGATTACATATGTGTGGACTGTACGCCCGGGTACCTCGAGTTTATATTCCTCTATCCGTCCAATTAAGAGGGGCACAATTACAGTGGTGCCGGGAACATGTCAATTGGAATGTGTCTGACTGGGGCAATGTCATGTTTACCGATGAGTCAAGATTTGCTCTGGAGCCAGATGACAAGCGTGTAAGGATATGGCATGAACAACAAACACGCAATCAATCCCAAAACATCACCGAACATTACACATTCCGAGGCGGAAGCATTATGGTGTGAGCAGGGATTTTATTAGGATACCGCACCGACCTACACATATTAAAACGGGGTTCTTCGACGGCTGTCTGGTATTGAGATGAAGTCCTAGAACCCATTGTGAGATCGTACGCTGCAGCAGTTGGCCCTACTTTTGTTTTAATGGACGATAACGCATATCCCCATAGAGCTGACATCGTCGATGACTACCTGGAGAATGAAGGGATTACACGTATGGTGTTGCCAGCATATTCTCTCGACCTTAATCCCATTGAAAATTTTTGGGATGCTCTCGGCCATTGTGTATATTCACGTTTCCCACCTCCAGCCTCTCTTATTGAGCCAGAAACTGCTTTACAAGAAGATTGGCGATTGCTTAATTCTGCGGTGGTTGACTACCTAATTGAAAGCATGTCTAAGGTGTAAACTTTGTATACAGATGGGGGGGGAGATCACATACCCTATGAATGTTTTTTCATTTTATCCTGCTTATTTTCACTTTATACATAATTCTGTTTAAATCTCCAGTATGTCATTATCTGATAACTTACAAAAAATTTAATATTGTGTTCATTTCGGTATATAATTATTGATTTTGTTTTATGCATAAATATATATGCTACTTTCCTGCCGAATTTTGTTTCGATCAAAGCAGTATTTGTTGGATTTTTTTTGCATTTTACATTTTCGTGCTTAACTTTTGGAAGTGAGTGTACATTCTTAAATAATAAAATAATCTTGTAGATAGATCAAGATATTGGCAATCAGTTTAAATGACAGAGTAAAATTTAAAAAAAAAAAATTCTGGCAAGAAACTTACTATTGGTAACTGATAATTTTTTGCACTTCTTAGCTATACATTTTATAAGCTTGATAATTTTAATTTCCAACAGAGATAATTAATTACCCTTTTGTTTCATTTATTATCCATATAATCAGTTGAGGTTATTTGCATATATAGTCAATATTGAGTTAAATTTAGTACCTTTACTTTTATGCTTTAAATTATCTTTACATCAATAACCTCCCTCCCTTACATTTTTCTGTCCATTTTTAATGACAATTATTTATGGAGCACCTTGAACTGGAGTTATGCTAATTCATGTACAAGTTGCATCCTGAAAACCTAAAAGGGATTTTGTAAAATGATAATCGATTGATATTGTAAAAAACTAAACTGATTTGTAATTTAAAAATGAACAACTTGGAGTGTATTGTTAAACAGTGTTTATGAATGTAATAACAAAATTTAGTAGATTTTCTTTTTCTTCTGGAAAAAAATTTTCCTTTTCTCTCTTTTGAACCATATTGACATTTCTGTGGCAGTATGGAAAATTTTGCACAAAGTTATAGTACCTAGAATTCAAACTCATTTTATTCATCCGTATAATCTGTAGCTTGTCTTACACTTTCCATTGCTCAATCATGGCCAACCGTGGTATTATATTTTCAGCTTTTCCATTCATCTACTGGTTGCTCTTGAGTTATTAGGTCAAGAGTGTCTTTGTTTTAAAAGTCCTATAGCTTTCATCATTCTTGTCTTTCTTGAACTGTAATGAGTTTTTTCTATGCTTATTATTTTAAACTCTCTTGACCTTTCAATAAAGCTTAATGCTGTAACCTTTTTCATCTGCAGCAGCCATACTCAACTTTTTTCATCCGCGGTCCACATTCTCGGAAGCGCTATTTCAAGTGGGCCGCAACATTATCACAGGCCAAGATAATGCAAAATAACCACATCCATTTGTTTTATCATGAAAATGTATTTTAATACATAATTGTTAGAGAAGAGTATGTTTCTAACAGCTTAGCTTTTGAAATATGGCCGAACGTATTGTTAATTAAAATTTTCTTAGTTTTTGTTAAAAAAAAAATGTTAACTTTAGTTCAGTTTACTAAATTACAACAAGTAATACAATTAAAATAAAGAAGAAATGTAAATTACATAATTAATGTATTTATTACACAAAGACTAACGAGATCGTTGGAATTATCTATGCTTTTTAACAATCTTTTCTCTATCAGGCTTACAATTACTGCACGCTACTCGTAAGACATCATCCAAATGATAATCAGTGATCCAGTTTCTGTATACATTTTTTTGCATACTTCATTTTAGAGTATGACGACTCACAAAGATAATTTGATGCGAAAAATGTGAGAAAAATTTGAGCACATTTTTGTACAGTTCTGTATTGTCCAGGCACAGTTTTCCAAAAATCGGCGTAATCCATTTCCGCCCTCTTTTCTTTAAAAAAGCTTCCAAATGTGTGTTGTTCTTGAATTCTATAAATTCGTCAAACAGCTGTACGTAACTACATCCCAATATGCCTGCCTGTTCTGATATGACTGTTGGATCTAAGTGCCAAGGATTTTTCGAGAAGTAACAACATGCTTTTTTAATTTTCCTTAAATCACTGAATCTACATTTAAATTTCTTTCAAAATGCCATTAAGTAATTTGAAATCTTCAT